GAGAGAGAGAGAGAGAGAGAGAGAGAATACATACATAAATCGGTAATATAGATGATAATCATAGCAATCCATACACAAGTGGTGACAATGGTTACAATGAGTGATACGTTAATCATTTTCTTGTTATTGTTGTAAATGACGATCAGTGCGAAGATTGCGGTCATAACTGTGCCAATACTGACCAGTAGTGTCAGTATATCTCTGTCCGAAACATTGCAGATTAGATACACGAGAGACGTGTGAAGAGCTATACCACCGATGGCTCCGTTCAGTGCGTACAGAGCCGTACGAAAAGCCTCAGACATTGTGCCCACAAATGGATGATATTATTGCACCAATTGATTGATCAGAGAAATAGATTTGAGTAATAAATGGTGTGAAGAATAAACTTGTCCTAAATTATATGAATTCTAGTTTTCTCTGGTAATAAAAGTGGTTTGAAATTCAAATCAATTTAAACAATATGTTTGAAATCTAGAGGTTTGTATTCGCGAGACTCAAACTCAGTATTTCATTGACAAGTTGTGTAATTAAATTAAATTATCAAATCATAAGTATTATTTTGAGTCAATCATTTTTATAATTCTTATCTCAAGGGCCATGGTTTTAAAAAAAATTTCTATTAGCTACAAATAAAATAAATATTTATTTTAAGTTTAATTGATTTAATATAATATATAGGAATAATTTAATTTAAAACTCAAAAATTAATTGATTATAAATTTATTAGTAAATGTTTGATTCAATGGTTTGAATGATCCAATCGGTGTGTTGGGCAATGGGAGTCCAATACGTTTCGGTAATATCCAGATCACATTTAATTAGTCGTTTCCAGCTGCTTATTGCTATTTGAATGCCTATTAATACAGCTCTGGGTTTTACGCCATCCACGTACTGCACTAAACCACCACCAGAATCACCCTGGTAGTCATATTAAGAATACAATTTATTGTAATTATAACGACCATTGTAATATAAATGTAATTTGAGTAATTAAATTGCATCAAGGTATTACTGACAACACGACCAAGCGATACCTGGCTCCTCGAGTCAGATACTGAGCACAAGAGATGTCTACAAACTTTGTTATGATTATCGATAATAATTCATACAATCATTTGACAAATTCAATGGCTTTCCAGAATTTTCATAGGATTTGTAAAATTAAAAATTATGTAATCATATTTGTTACGGTCAACTAAAAGCACAAAAAAAGTGTATCCAATAGTTTTTTAAACACAAAATATATTTCTATGTATTTTCTGTATACGCTACTAGTTTACACTTTTTATATTATATAAGTGTTTGAGAGGATGAGTAAGAAAACAATTTTTTAAAAAGTTTTCAAAGGTTTTTAAAAACTATTTTGTTAATATTAACATCAAGGTTTAGGTATGTACATTTATTTTTAAAACAAAAGTATACTTTATTTATAATGCAACAATGTTAATTAAATGTTAGTAGTAGCAAGATTGTGATCGTGGTATATTATAAAATACGATATCATCTTCGTTACTACTTTGTATAATTAACAACATTCATCATGGTATTAATTTAATCTAAAATTTGATTACAATTAATTTGCATACTCAAATACTGTAGTATTTTTGAATTAACCTTACACAAAAATAAATTTTTATAATTTGATATTTTATTAAATATGTAAGTTGATTTTAAATAATTTAATGTGCCTTAGTCCCGTGATTTATTAATTATTATTTATTAAATCCCATACCAATGCACATAAATGTTTTAAAAATTACCTGATACTTATATACAAATGTGGTATGTATTAAATATTTCTTACAAAATTCTAATATAAAATAGTTAGTGCACCATTATTGAATTAAATACTATTAAATATTAAATTTAACAAACAATTATTTAATTAAAACATATACTCTAGCATAATCTGTTAATCGTTATCAAAAATCTTATGTAAGTTTTAAAAACAATAAATTTATTGATAATGATTTATAGATTGTGTAAATGAATACAACTTTCATTTGAATTACTTTGCTAATTAAATTATTATATATCACAATATTTTTAGATTTTTCTATAAATGTGTTCAAGCAAGATATTTTACATAATCTTTTAATAGTTTTTAGATATCTATGATAACAAAATATTAAAATTTATTAACTATTAAAAGATAATGTGAATAAACATCCATGTCACAAATTAATATTATCGGTAACTAAATTATTAAAATTTTAAAATAAATAAAATTTGGATTCATATTCAGTATATTATATAATTTTTGTAAACAACACCATTTACATAATACCGCAATCATTATTAATGTACAGATAATTACTACTTTAATAATATTTTTATATTTTTATTAAATATAATATTAAATAATCGTTATATTAATTTAAGATAAATTATGTTTTACGCAAAATTGTTTGATTAAAATTATGAATAAATATTTCAATAAATAGCGACATAAATGCTGTAAACAAACCATTGCCTAATAAAATGAAACAGGTGAGCGAATCACTGATTTTAATGATTACATTTTTATTATGATTTTTCTGATTCTCTGTCCACTTGTCTTTTGATTTATTCAATGAATCCATAAAGTGGTTGAACTGAATGTCTTCTCTAATCCTTTTGGTGGTTATCCCCGAATGTAACAAATTATAAAACCTTTGGACACGAAAAAAGTTTATAAACTTTTTACTAAAAATACAATATTCTTACAATCGGTTTAATTTATGTTTGAGTTGCGGCTTTAGGCTGTATCTCATGGGAAAGTTGACAATTTGCGGGTATATACTGTTTTGGCACAAATGCCAGGGATAGCGGTTGTGATGGCCAATTACCTGCCGAACCGACTGCTCACTGGCCACCAGTGCGTGCGACTCCTCCACCAGTTTTCGGATCACATTTGCACTGAACATATCCGAGTGACTGATGAACACAAACCTATTGGTCAGCGATTTGTACTCCTTATGTGTAATCATAATCAGTAAAAAGTAAATTAAAAAAAACTATTTTAAACACAAATACTTTGGCGATCAAGTAGTAGGCATTGGACTGGGCTTTGATGAGCGGTATGATGTCTGGCCGCTCAACCAACTGCTCAATTGAGTCCAAATATAAGGTCCGTTTGGCTGATATGGAGGCCTCGATATCGCTGGTAAACATGAGTCTTAACACGAATGTTGTGATCAACCAAAAGCCTATCGATATATTGATATGCATCTGAAATATATAAATATTTGCGGCAAATATCATGTTATGAATGCTTTGGCCCACGAGTACACCGAAGTAGTCGAAGACAACTCCCAAACGAGTCCAATAGTCTTTAATAACCACTGAATTGATGAATGAATTCATTACGAATGCCATTAATATGAGAGTCCACATGGAGTTTGCGAACACAGAATATGTTGAGAATATTGGCCCTGCTCACTATTGGCACACTTAATATACTCAATCGGTTTCTTGAGGTGAAAAACTCGCCGGAATCTATTGGACTGTCTTTGATGTCTCGGTAGGCAAACAATTTTAATATAACGTCCGCTGACTTTCAAATAAATAAATCAAAAATTACAAATAAATCCTGATTAAGGATTAGGACACCTGATTAGGGTGCACCACCTGGTTTGCAATTAGCGATATGATCCCATTCCAGGTACCGTTCGAGAGTAGACCACCACTGATGTCACTTGTTGATATTTTATAAGAAATACTATATATATGTTTAAATAAGTATTATTTAGTTTAGATATAAGTCAATAAGTATTAAATTTGTCCAACATAAATTATGATTTACATACCTTGATTGCAGCGATAGTGCAATGAGTTTAATCATATAGTTTGTAGAACTGCACACATACTGTAAGCCTTCAAATTTGAATATCTCATTGAAATATAATGAAAATTAAAATGATTTTATAATAGATTCAAATTCTCTAATAAATACCTCGGATGGAAAAAATGCAATAATTAAGTTTTCACTTATATTTTGACCAAAAGTTAAATTTTCACTTTCACTCCATTTCAGGCAAAACTTTTCTCTTTTTAAACTCATTTTGGTTCACATTTATAATATTAGTTATAAAAATGTATTATATTTTATGAGTTTACTAGAACTCAAATTATGCACTCATTGAGTACACAAATAAGACAATTTTCATGACACTTTTTAATAATAATATAACACAAAAGAATACACTGAAGTACCATGATAAAAATATATTTAATTTGATAATAAAAAAGTTAATGAAATATTGCTAATGATTATGTCACATAATACCGCAATGCAGTATAAAATGGTGTATAGAATTAGTACTAGTTTTGTAATAAATCATTTATTTTATTAAATTATCTAAAATTTATTTCTATAAACCTAATTATTTTTGTTTGCGTTTAATATGTACTTTCATTAAACAAAATTAATATATTTATATTACAACCTATCCCAATATATAAACACAAACAATTATATTGAGTAAATTAAGATTAATATTTTTCTAATAATAATTCATTTGCCTGAATACATTTGATTAAAATATATAATAATATAACCGCACCCGTACAACAAATTAACCCAAAAATATATTTTATTATATTATCATTATCTGAATTCAGTTTGAAAGCTTTTTAAGTGATCTTGTTAAATGTCAAAGTTCATGTAGCTTCACATACTTATTTAGCAATGATTTATCTTGCCTAGTTTACATAAATTAAAATAGTCAGGTACAAAATTCACAATATATTTTATTAGTCACAAATATAAACATTACACTCTAAACGGTATTCAATGTAAAGTTAATATTTTAAGCTAGGTCATAAGCTGATTGCTTGGGGTTAGCGGCGCCTGTCGATGAGTCCATTGAATATATTTCTTACAATACAAACATAGCTCATTATATTGTATAAACGTGTTGTTAATTAAATTATTGATTTGTCACTTGAATTACCATTTTATAATACTCGTGTGTATAATGAATTATTATGTCGTATAAATTAATCTATAATACAATAGATATTTAAATTAATTTATATCTAAATATTTAAGAAAATGACTTATGATTCAATATAAATGTTCTGGGAAGTTAACATTTACCGTCATACTCATGTAAGAATCATAGAAGTTATTATTCATAATATATTACGATAGAGTAATAATAGATAATTTGCATTTTGTGACCTTTAATATATGGACGGGCCCGTGCAGAATAACTCTTTGAAATACACATTTCAAACTGTAATTGTGTCAAACCTTATTTGTTAATGTGTGTTAGTGCAAAATTACAGTTTGAAATGTATATTTCTAGGAATACTTCAACAACTTATAGTCCATGTTTATATTTAGTTAAATAAATTTAAATAGTAACTTTATAAAATTATATAATTAAAGTAATATAAAGATTTAGTAGCATAATGGAATTTTAAGGGAGAATTTATAGTGAAATGTGACATGTCAATATATTTCTTGAGTTATAGTTAATTTATATTTATAGAATAAAATATTAAACGTTAAAATTGTCTATTGAAATTTTAGTGTTAATAAATAATGTATTAATCCATTGTTAATTAATTAGATATTTGTGATAATTATATATTTACACAAATATTATTATCAAATAGTATGTAATCTTTATAAATATTCTATATACTGTAAATAGTATATTTAGATTGAGATTCTATAATATTCATATATTACATGAAACAGAAAGTCCGTGGAATTGTTATCTTATCTTCTTATTTCAAAATGCTGAGTCAGATGGACCTTGAGGTTGTTTATTATTGTAGACAAGTT